GCCAGTAGCACCACATCTTCCTCCAAAGGACTGCCCACCAAGCAGCTGTCCCTCCCGCATCCATGCCATCAGGTCCTCTTGCTCTGCACATGCTGTTTCGCCCCAATTCCTCCATCCGCTCCCCTTAGACATGCTGTGGCTGGTGGTTGCGGCCCCTGGCACTGTGGGACAGGATGGAAACCCTACCCTGCCAACCCATTTTGCCCGTCTCATGAGAAAATCGCAGAGTTTCCAGGATTTGTGCCTGACGTTGCCATCCTGGCTAAACGCATCTTGCTGTTACCCTTTTGGGTGCTTGCAGGTGCCCATGTGTCCCTGTGCCTGGGTGATGGGGGCTATGCCGGGCTGTGCTTCCCACTGCAGCCTCTCTGCCACAGGGCCAGGGGCCAAGCCCACGTGGTTTGACCTCTGCAGGAAACACCTCCAAGCCTGGGGAGGCCGAGAAGCCGCTCCAGGCACCCACGCCAGCTTCTCTGCCCCCTCCTTCCGCAGCGCTGTGCCAGCCCCGGTCCTGCCTACGCAGCCAGAGGCCACATCCTGGGCTGGCTGGGGGCTACAGGGCCACCAGGGTGGTGCCAGTCCCCACATCAGTTATCACGCCACAGGCTGCTCTGGTGGCCACAGGCACGGCTCACTGTGGGACGAGCTCCTCCGATGGACTGAGGTGCCTTGCAGAGCCCTTGCAAGTGCCAAACCAGCTGCTGGTGGCTGAGAACTGTCCTGGAGGCTCCTAGAAAATGGAATTTTTCCTCCTAGAAATCAGGAAATGGGTCATCTGGTCCCTTTCGAGGTCCAAACCCATCAGCCAACACCACGGGGGCAGGAGAAAGCCAAAGCCAGGCTTTCCTGGGTTGTAATGCAACATGACAGAGCAAACAGGCTGAGCTCTGGCTGTTTCCCCACGTGGAGGCAGAGGGCACCTTCCTGGCAGCCCAGGAAGTCCAGGGATACAGAGGAGCTGTGTTTCCACGAAAAGCTGGTGTTTTACTGACAACCAGCCAGGAAGTGGATTTTTTCTTGGAAAATGACGTCTCGGGCAACGGTGCTGGGTGGAAAGAGGAGCCGCCGTCCCTTGTCCCCTGTCCCCTGCTTGCGTGCGGCACGGCTGACGTGACTGGGATGGAAAGTGCAGCTGCCGCCCTGCCCGGCTGATGCACA